AGCAGCCTCCGCCTCACTAGATCTAATCGATGGCGCCAAAGAGAAGCCATGGAGGCTCGAAGAAGGCGACGCGTGAGATCCACCACGATGAACAATGGGTGCAATCCATCAGTGACGAGGCGGTGCTCAACAGGCTGGTGGTGTACGGTGTCCTGCCAAATAGGGCGACGGTGGGGTGGCGTCCGGCGGTGGGTGAGGACTTTCCCACTCCCCGCTCCGATGAATTGGTTGTTTTTGAGGATTACTTCTTCCACGGATTTGGTGTTCCTATTCATCCTTTCCTCCGCAGGCTGATCGATTACTATGGCATTAGTCTTTGCAATCTCATCCCGAACTCTATCCTTCATGTCGCTGTTTTCATTGACCTCTGTGAATCGTATCTGGGAATCCTTCCCCATTTCGACCTGTTCCGCCATTTCTTCTGCCTCAAAATCTGGGGGTCTGGATCTAGGGTCGTAGGCAGCGCCTATCTACAGCTGCGATATCGGATGGTGAATCAGTACATCATCGTCCCGCTTAACACAAATGTGAAGTACTAGGCCCCGATGGTTCTATATCAGGCAGGTGGAGCCGTATGTGCAATGTGATGTTGATCAAGTTCTGGTGAGCAACACCAGGTGGTCGGAGAGGCCCAATTCCAATGGAATGGAGCAAGTGAGGGAGATCCTAACTTTGATAAATCGTAAGAGGTCAGACGGAGTCATTGTGGCGATGAATTTCATTTTCCGTTGGTTCTAGCCCTATAAAGACAGGGCCCATCCTGTGTATGAGTTCCGGGGGGAAACCGACAGTACCCATGAGGTGCCCGAGGAGATTGACCGGGATGAAGTCAAGCGGCGCATGGCGATGCTGTTCAACTTGGCGGTGCACGTTAGCATCAATGACCAGCAGAGGGCCTTCTGCGTCGGAAGCCTTCCTCCGGCGGTAAGAGTCTGCTTGCAGCGTATACTTGATCTTTAACTTTATGCCATGTATTCATTTGCGCTCTTGAAGATTCATGGGCAGGACCAGGCGGTGTACTTCTTGGCGGTGCCATCGAAGGACTGGCCAAGGGCTGTAGATGCCTGGCCACGCAGTCCCAGCGTTAGTCGAGCTCAAAGACTGGCGAAGAGGGGTCAGAGCGTCGTGGAGTTATAGATGAGGACGAACGGACGACATATGTCCATGAAAAGCTTCGGGGAAAGCGGCCAGTCGAGGACGAGCCATCCTCGAAGAGGAGAAAGGCGGCGAGGTCCTCCCGCCATGAGGAGGGACCTGTAAGCATTGGGGTCTCCGCTCAACCCGGAGGCGGCAGATGGTTCTGCCGAACTCATCTGACGACGATGAGACGGCGACTCTTCCTCCTTCGAGCACTGAGACGCCCACGCCAGCTATGCCGGCTGGAGCAGAGATGCGGGAGAGGCGGCGAGCACGTGAAGGCCGCGACGGCGGTCCTCGAGAGTGCTCGGGCGATCCCGACGGCGACAGCAAGGGCGGCGACCGCAGTCCCCGAGACTGCCCGGACGACCCCCGCGGTGGCAACTGGGGCCGCCAGGCAAGCCCCCGAGCCTGCGTGGGGTGATCCCGGCGGTGGCAACCGAGGCCACCAGCCCGAGGAATGTGGAGACACCAGCCAGCTTGGCTGCTGGGCAAGGTGGCTTAGGACGGCCTGGCGAGAATCCCAGTTGTAAGTGTTTTCTACCCTTGCACCATTTCGTTGAATTGAAGTTGCTGTTTGACAAATCTGTTTTCTTGTCTTAGTGCTGAGACAACTGACGAGCTGCACCTGTCGGTTGATGATGACGAGCAGCACGCGGTAGAGACAGGAACTTCTGACGCCGAGCAGGGACAAGCAAGAGCGAATCCGGTCGTCCCGGCCCGGCGTGGAGGAGCCGCCAGCTGCCGGGCTGACCTCGCCCGGTGGTGGGGCGCATGATGAGGGTGACCCTGAGGACGCGTCGGGCGGTGAGGAGGCGCTGGGCCACGACAGGCGTATCTATTCTTCTACAATGTAATAAAAAATTTTATTAGTTTTCTTCTATTAACTTACTAATTTTTTATCCGATCTGATACAATAAAATAACACGCAAGTCAAACTTATATATATACACATTATACGAAAATACCATATAGTAATGCTATATATAATAGATTTATTTTTAAGAAAATTCCGCGGCAACGCGCGGGGTATTTTTCTAGTTTTAGAGATGAGATAATTTTGTCTTTTGTTTAGTTGTGAGCAGAGGCGGAAGAGTCTCTTTCCTATTTTTATTTGGTCTGAATTGCATATCTATTTTTTATTTAGTCTAAAGACATAAAACTAAGGATAAGTGGCTGATTCTGGAGACATAAAACTAAGGATAAGTAAATGATACGTGAGGCTTATTGTCAAAGTATATCTCCATTTTTTTTCTTTTTCTCCTCATGGAAAGCCGTCACCGTTGCTCAGTTTCTCAGATCCACGCAAGTTCGTCCCTAGTCCATGTGCCTCTCTAGGCCATCCGCATGCCTCCTTCCAAGCCATGCTACCCTAACTCACCAGTGGTTATCCTCTTTCTTTCCATAGTCACGCATCTTATCTCCATGGTTGTCGAGACCTCCCAGGGCGCATGCTAAGATGTGTCTCCTCATTCCCATGTTGTAGTAGTATCTCTCTTCCTCCGTAAGACATGACACTTCTCTTCTTCCTATATGACCTCTATGCCGTGGTGTCTTTCCTTCGCCTACACGAGAGCACTATCACAGGTGGAACAGGCACATCCACATGATTCTCGGGGATGACTTCATCCCGAATCTAGCAGGATATTCCATAGTGGGGGAAAATATCACTGTCCCACAACTAAACACCCGCAGAAAAAAACGAGATATCTCATATCATCCTATTTCTAATCCAAGCCAAACTCTACCTTCTCCTATCTCAATAATTATTCGTCTCTCTCTTTTGCTACAATATTTGTGGCGGGTCACAAGTGATTTCAAGGGAGTACTTTTCATGCTCGCTAATCTGTCGTGGCTCTAGAGATCGTCTAGATCCTTGAAGATGTGTCCAGCCATGACCCCTTGCTGGTGAATGGGGAAGGTCCTACTGTTTGTTAGTTGGTGGTGCCAGAAAACGCGGCGGCAGCGCCAGGCCGGACGGTGGCAGCGGCGGCGCTCAAGGATCCTCGTTGATGATGTGGCGGCACCGAGCTGATAATGAGCATGGGATATGAGGGTCATATTAGATGTCAAGTATTAAAAAATATAAGAAATAATAAATAACTATAGAAAACAAGGCGTCACCGAGTATACAGTTTGGAGTCCTACTTACAGCAAGCTCAACGATTGGAGTCCCGGGCGTGATTGGTTGGTGTACGCGCGTAGCCAGGCTCGCAGCTAGGAGCCAGGCTGCCATGTATATACCTGCAAGTGCTCCGTGTTCGGTCGCCTGTTGAAATTCATCCTGGATGATCAGATTGCCCAGATCAGCTGCAAAAGTGCACGCGCTAGTGTTGATTTCGGCTTCCTTGGGTACGCGTCTTGCACGACCGTAGCCAGGCCCGCGGGAAACGGCCGATTGTGGCTATCTCTGGAGCCTGGCTCGCTCGGTCGTTTGCATCACTCGGGCCAGGCCCGTTACCTACTTCAGGCAACCAATCAAGAAGATTTTGCATCCCGCCGGCCTGGACAAGCCAGAAACAGCCAACCAATCAGCCCACAGTCAATGTGGGCGCGTTTGGTTGCTTGACGAGGAGAGCCAGACTCGTATCACTCACCCAGGCTGACCGTAGCCAGGCATACAACGCTACTTTTTTTATGCCTCAACAACTCTTAAGTACAAGTTGTAATATCTGAACTCACACATTAACTCATACCATCATATGCACACAAACTCACACACACTCTAGTATGCAAGCTAGACCTACACCTTAATGAAGAGGCTTGCACGTGGCTGAGAGGTATTCGAAGTTTTCCAGGCTTCGCACATGACGGGCACGTCATCCTGACCACGCATACAACGCTACTCTATTAGTTGATGCTCGCTCATCTTGACCTTTGACCTCGTCATCGTAGAAAACACTACAACTGTAGTTAACCATCAGCCAGGCGACAAATCAAACACACACTTAAAGAGGCTTCTTATGTATGAAGGGGGTGCGAGTCTGTTTGCTGATTGATTTCTGGGCTGATAAGTCTGGCTGGTGCTGGCTTATTGTGAGAGAAAAATACTATTAACTGGCTGATAAGCCCTGGCTGAAATCAACATGCGAATAAGCTGATTATATGTTTCAAACCTGCCTGTTTTTATGTTATGCTACTTTTTTTCCTTTTATACTTTCCTCCAGACTAAGCAATCAGAACCTGCTTATTATGCCACACAATCTGCTATTTTTCACTTCTGATTACTTGTGTGGTTCATTGAAAAAAGAAAAGAGTACTTATAGTGGTTGCTTGTGCGTGATGACCGAGGTATGCAGGTGTTCTATGTGAAGTGTTATATGTCAAAAACTTGTGCTGATGGGAATTGTTATTTTGTTTGAACTGGCCACCTTGACATGTAGTTCTATGATTACGTTGATGGAAAATAAATGCTTTTACCCTTTTCTGAAAAATGGAAATTAGGTATCCATTTAAGAAGGAGCAGACTTGTGTGTTTTCAGTTGCTTGTTGACTTAAGGAGGTCAAGCCACACATAACTTTATTGCTGCCTCTGTACATTATTTCTTAGGATAGGTTGCGGTTGAATTGGTGACATGTGTGCTGTGGTGTGGCGATAGGTTAACTTTACATGCTTGCTATTTCCGCCTGATTCCAAATCGCCGCCCCTCACTCTACCCAACCCGACGCAGCAGGCGGCGCCTTCCAGGACGCCGGCTCTGCCCGACTACGACTTCCAGGCGTCGCTCCCCTAGGCCCTGGCTCCTCACTACGCCCTCCTCACGCCGAGTCACGCAGCAGGCGCGTCAGTCAGAAACTGTGACCCCCCTCGCTCCCCCTCCAGAATCCGCGACCCCCCTCCCCCCACTCAAGGTCAGAGCACCATGGCTCCTGGTCGGAAGCGGGGAGCAAACAGGCAGCAACCAACAGGTAAACTCATGAATATGTGGAATTAATAAGTTGATTTCCCTTCTGTTCCCCACGTTTAGCCTCTACTTTGGGTAACCGAGCAAATCTATTTCGTTTTTCCCTTCTACTTTTGTCGCTTGTTAGGTGAGCCAGAGTACCAAAGGTCTGTAGACATTCTTTTTATCTACAATTTCAGTAGTGCAAGGTTGGATATGTCAGAACTTATGGAATTTCGAAGTTGTGTTGCAGACTCTCTCAGGTCTGACTGAATATGTTGTAGCCTGGATTAAAAATAGTAGATGACCGAAATAATTTTTGTGGTGAATACAAAAGTTGTAGGAAATTTTATGTAGATGTTTTTACTGGGAGCATATTTTTAGAACTGCATACAGGCATGTCAAATATTTTGATGTTTATATTAAGGGGCCCATATTTCTAGTGTTGCTCAATGTCACCAAAATCTATGGACTGCGCCTGATGCAGGCATGTCATGGATTGCTCTAATTCTGTTCCTGGAATTACTATGTTTTGCAGTAGTGTATGGAAGTAATTAGTATCCTGCTGATCCGTCTATTTTTGCAATGACGATTAACAATCATGTTTCTGATCCTCGTGCTTAATCACAGTTTGTTCTATTTCTAGCTAATACCTTTTTGGTTTGGGGGACATAGAGGGATTCCTGGAATGACAGGAGGTGGTTTCTTATATTCCATAGTTGCTTTCTATATCTCAGAAGTTGGTGAGCAGAAAAAGAAGAGGATCAAGTCTGATACAGATTCTGCTGCATCTATGAGGAATCAACTTGACCAAGCTGCAAGCCTGAAAGGACAGCAGGTTTCAACTTCAGCTTTATTTAATAACATGAGTTAGTTTTTATATTTCTTGTATTCATCAGTGCATGCTTTACTAGGCAAGCTTCTACCTTCTATGTAGGAAAAGATAGGAACTTCCCTGTGTTTTGAAGTACTCCCTTCATCTTGCAATATAATTATCCTAGGATTTCTAGAACATGTTATGGGTAAAGCAAATTATGCACGTAAAGCCCCCTCCCTTAATCGTGGGGAGATATTGTGCTTACCATATTTTGAGCTTGGTGGTTCGGTTGACAATCAACATTGTGTTGGGTTCCATAGGTAGGCATGTGGGGGCCTAGGGAAATTAATTCACCTAGAATCCCTTATAATTTGGGACTAATTGTAAATGCTTCAATGCCTTATATTTTAGGATAGACGGAGTAGTACTGTAGGACTTGCTGCAATTTGTTGGAGGCACTGATTTTGCATGTCCCTCCCTCAAAACATCCATAATGGCAACCACGCGTTCAGGAGAGCTAGCAGGACTGTACAGCAGACCCTCTCAAATAATTTGTGGGTCTTGATATCCAAGGCGCTCTAATTGTGGGAGTCATCTTAGAATTTCTATCTCTTTGGGATATTGTCAGGGATGTCATCCTGCAGCCTGGTGTTGAAGATTCTCGTATTTGGCATTTATCTTCAAGTGGCCAATATTTGGCAAAGTCGGCTTACAAAAACCTCTTCCAGGGAATGACTTAGTTTTGGTCTCTAGAATTTGGAGAACCTGGGCTCCATTCTTTTAGCACTGGCGAGTCTTTAACCTTTTAAACCAAGTGTACTTCGGGTTCTTTTCCTGTCTTTTATCTTCTATAATATAATGATACGCAGCCCTCCTGCGTGTTTGAGAAAAAAAGAGAACCTGGGCTCCAGGAATATGTAAATTCTTCTTGTGGTTGGTAGCTCATGACTGGTGTTGGACAGAAGACTATTTGTCAAGAAGAGGGCTTCCTCATCCTGAAGATCTCACTGTGATCAAGCTGAAGAATCTATCAACCACTCGCTCTTGTCTTGTGTTTTTGCAAGAGAGTTCTGGTTCAAACTTGTACAAAGAGTCAGCCTGCAGTTATTTTCCCCGCAGATCAGTGAGGAGTGTCACTAACCTTGGGATTTGGGAGTCTAATCATTCCATTAGTGGAGATGACTATATATAGGAGCCTCATGGGCCATATGAGCCTATATTAGATGGGCCTTCATATACTTAACAAGTTCTTTGATGATTGGTGTGCAAGAATCAATTTGCAGGCTGGCATCAATTATAGAAAGGTCTCAATTCCCTTGTTATCATTAGCGCTTGGACCTGTGGATTCATCGTAATAAATGTGGTTGATGGTGCTTCTCCAAGCTTGGCATAGCCTTACCACTCATTGGCAAGGAGTTATTTTTTTGGGGTTTGGCCGGGGCTCTAGGTATCTCCTACCTTATCGCCCTTTAGCTGGTGTAGTGTGGTTGCTTTGATCGGGGTTATTTGATCTTTGTCACACGGGTCTAGTTTTTGATAAATTGGTTTTGTCATGTGGGTGTGTGTGTTTGTAAGGCACTCCCCCTTTTTTCTTCTTAATATAATGATATGCAACTCTCCTGCTTGTTAGAGAAAAAAACCATGCGTCTAAGTGTTTGAATTTGGATATTGTTAGAATGACACAATTTTGACTTCTGGAGTACAGAAAACTAATATATTAGGATGGTATTACATGTGATTTGCTGAGGCTTGCCTTGAAAATGGGAGGTCCACCAATTCTTCCATTCTCTTTATTTGAACGAGAATTACTTTTTGCCTTTCTAGAAATGGTTTCTAGAGACATGTTTTTATTCGGTTAGCTAGAGTTATTGAAGCTTATGAGGCTTGTAATCATTGACATTTAATGGGATCTAAATTGCTACTTTAAGTAGATTTTTATCACTTAGCTAGAATTATCGAAGCTTATGAGACTTGGATTATATTTCAACAACTCTGTTTGCTAGGCCTAGTTTATATCCTACAAAAATCCAAAGGCAAAATTGGAAACCTTGATAAAATTTTGCTTATAAGAAAGTGTAGTTTGATCATATAAATATGCACATTGCAATCCATCTTTGTGATAAGATCTTTAATATATCGAAATCCATGTTTAAATTGATCAAATTTTGTTGTATTAACTCCAATAGTGTCAAGGGCATCGTGGTCTAGGGTAGCTGGACCTCGGCTACGTAGTTCGTAGCCTTGATCCGTGAGGTTGGGGCGAGGTTTTTGATAGAGGAAGGGCAATAGGCTTAGATTACTTAATAGGATTACAGGAGGAGTTACACATATATATAGGAGAGCAGGGAGAGCCCAAAGGGCTTGGCTAGCCTGGAGGTGGCGCATAGGACTAAGAGATTACAGCTAAGAGGTAATTAATGCTAACACCCCATGATGGAACGTCGTTAGAAATAACGTCAGATGGAGCGGAAATCCATAAATCTGAAGAAGGAAGCCCTTGGTGAAGACATCGATTTAACCGCGACGTGGTGAGAACATGAAGAACACGGACGACTCAATGGCGACCCGTTCCCGCACGAAGTGGAGGTCGATTTCCACGTGCTTGGTGCTACCGATCTTTGAACGGGTTGGTGTTGGTGGCGCCGACGTTGTCGCAGAGAGATGAGGCGAAAAGGCGAGAATCCAGAGGATGGTGAAGCTCTCAGAGAAGCCGCCTCGGCCAGAGGCTTTCGGCGACACCGTTGGCAGCACACGGTACTAAACCTCGGGCTTGGATCGAGAAACGGTGGGTTGGCACTTAGACGACTAGGAAACAAGGCGCCTCCGAGGAAGACAGCAGAGCTCGAGGTGGAACGGTGGGTGTCGGCGTACGGTCCGGTCGGCATCGGTCGGTGTACGACGATTTGAGTTGGAGCAGATCTGGGAATGACCGGACCATGACCGATAGTGCCTCAAGGTAGCGAAGAATCCGCTTGGCGACAACAAGATGAACTTCCGGGGATCATGCATGTGTAGGCAGACTTGTTGGACGGCGTATGCAATGTCGTGCGGGTGAAAGTCAGTCATCAAGAGCTCCCACAAGGTCATGCGGTAGGTCAGAGGATCATCAATGGAAGGGCCGACATCGCAGACACTTTGGCACAAGTGTTGGATGGGGGTAGAGCATGGTTTCTGATCGCTCATGCCGTGTCGAGTGAGAATGTCCAGAGTGTCTCGACGCGTTGTGAGAGAAAGAGAGTATCCCCGTGTCATTTGAATCGCCACGCCGAGAAAGTGGTGCAGGGGTGAGATCGATCATGGCAAATTCCTTCTTGATTGCATCAATCACACGGTGTAGGAGCCGCTCGGAGAGGAGGTCAAGGACAATATCGCCCACATATAGAAGCAAGTAGATCTGTCAGCGGTGCCACGGCGATATATGAAGAGAGAGGTGTGTCGACTTGGCTTCAGTGAAACCCCAGTGAGAGAGAAAAAAGAGGCAAACCGGCTATACCATGCTCGCGGTGCCTGCTTTAAGCCGTAGAGAGATCTGTTGAGCTTGCAGACGTGTCCAGGAAGAGCAGGATCAGCAAAGCCAGTGGGTTGAGAGCAATACACTACTTCTGACAAAGTCCCGTGGAGGAAGGCGTTCTTCACATCAAGTTGATGGATGGGCCAATCCCGAGAGTGAGCCAGAGTGAGGACGGTGCGAACGGTAGCGGGCTTGACGACGGGACTGAAAGTCTCATCGTAATCAACTCCGGGGCGCTGTGTGAACCCACGGAGCACCCAACGAGCCTTGTATCTGTCCAAGGAGCCATCAGCATGAAACTTGTGTTTGAAGATCCATTTTCCGGTGACCACATTTGCCTTGGCAGGCCGAGGAACGAGATCCCAAGTGTGGTTGGTCAAGAGGGCAGCAAATTCTTCTTCCATTGCCCGACGCCAGTGCGGATTAGCAAGAGCGTCACGACAGGACCGCGGTAGTGGGGACAGAGCCTCGGTGTGTAGAGCAAGGCGAGGCTGCCTGTATGCGGACTTCCCGCGGGTCGCCATGCCATGAGAGTTGGCGATTGGAGGGATGGAGACGGCTCCTGTTGGCAGTGGAGGACCACTCTTGACGTAGCGTGGTGGAGAGGGAATCATGCCGGAGCGTCGAGGAGGAGCCCCAGCGGGGGACTCAGGTGGCGAGCTGGGTGCGGGGGCACACCGGGTGTAGACGTGGACGACGGGCACCTTGCACAGGGGCGCCGTGGGCGTCTGTACAGCAGGCGCCTGTGGAGGGGGCGCCATGGGCGCGGTGAAGTCGGGTGGAGGAGACCGGGACGCTGGCGTGCCCGGAGTGGGCACCGAGGCGCCCATTGGTCAGGTATGGTGAGACCGTGGGGCGACACTGGATGCCGGTGTGTGCCTAGTCCGGGCCGGGGTGATCAAGACACCCACGGGGGAGGGGCATGCAGAGGTGCAAAGTATTTGGCAGGTGGCGGCGACCTGTGTGTGCTCAGTGAGGAGAGAAAAAGGGTGACGGAGGTCATCATCGGTTAGAAAATCCGATTCGTGTGTAGGCGGTGGGGCGGCAAAGTGAGAAAGGGAACGTTGTTTCGTCGAAAACAACGTGGCGAGAGATGATGACACGGTTTGTGGCGAGGTCGAGGCACCTGTAACCCTTGTGATTGGGAGAGTAGCCAATGAAAACGCATAAAGAAGAGCGCGGGGCAAGTTTGTGAGGAGTGGTAGCGGTGATATTAGGGTAGCAGGTGCACCCAAAGGCCCGGAGGTCATGATAGGAAGGGTGAGTGCCATAGAGTGCGAAGAAGGGAGTGCTCATGTTCAACGTTTTGGTGGGGAGGCGATTTATGAGGTGGGTGGCAGTAGCAAGTGCATCGGCCCAGTAGGAGGGGGGCATGGACGCTTGGAAGAGCAGGGTGCGGGTGACATTGTTGGTGGTGCGAAGCATGCGTTCGGCTTTGCCATTTTGCTGCGAGGTGTAGGGGCATGACATGCGGAGAGAAACACCTTTGGCAAGAAAGAAAGCATGAGAC